TTTTCTTCCTTCATTCTCTGTTGCTTCGTTTTTTCTCACAAATTCTAAAAAATTCAACAAACCTCTGAAATCTGAGTGCTCCCGACGGAAGCCGAGGATCCAAAAGTACCAACTTCAAACATTTGCTTTTACTTGCTCCTTTCTGATCGATTAATTTATTGCAAAGAACAAATTTTTCTTTTCTGACAATAATATTCCAACGGTATTTGGGACATTTTTACTTTCTGATTTTTGAGGAAACCACATAAAATGGTTATTATTCTTAGAATTCTTTTGAAATTTCAAACATCCAATAATTTCTGAAATATTTGACAATAAAAATCTTCGTCATCTAATAAAATAATATTCCAGTAATATTTGCCATATTTTTACATTCTGATTTTCGAGGAAACCGCATGAAATAGTTATTATTCTCAGATCTCTTATAAAACTGCTCAAATCTCTAAGAAATAAAAAAGAAACATCGAGACATCCGATAATTCATTCCTACAATATTTAACGATATAAGTCCTCATTATCCAATACGACAATACCCACAATGAAAATCTTCTGTACACAAGGTAGATTATCAAATATGGCGGCAAGGTAAGAGCTATAGTACGCTTCAGATCCTTATTATTAAGCCACCCCGAGGGTAGAACCGGCCAAAATCCTTCCTAACCGGTCCAGAAGGAGGAAATCACGACGAATCACAATCCTGAACGTTAATCGAACGTGCAAACACGCCGCAAACCCGTTTCTACCAGCACAGAATTCCTAATGATCTATAAACTTCCAGGCTCGATCTGTCAAACTGTTTGCTCTCGTGTCAAAAAATTCCCCTCTTCTTTTACATATTGTGGAACGACAGAGTGTTAATATTTCTCGGGAAATTGAAAGAGTTAGCTTTAAAAAGAACATGAATCTTGTAGCTCTGTTTGCGTCTTTAGCGACCTTGACTACTTTCTGAGAATCACTTGCCAAGTTTTTAATCCTGACCGTTTTCCAACTTCACATTTCGATAATTGGAGTAATTCTCGCGTAATCCAATGATAGAGTGATATATTATTTAGCTGTTTTCTCAGTTTCAATTACGCTAATCATTCGCAAATTGATCGTTCGAATGATTATTTGAGCGTCTTTTCGCGTTAATTGAAAGTTCATGCAATTAAGTGGTAAGTTATTCTTGGGGAATTTAAGGGGAATTTTTGTGTAAATTTAAAAAGTTAATTTTCATTCTAAAAAATTTGACATTTCGTGTTACACAACGTCGTGGAAGTATCAATTGTAATATTTATGGAAGAGTGAATCTTATAGTAGCCGAAGAGGTGAAGTTTCGTTCCCATAAAGAGCATTGCGAGGAAGCAGTAATTTTCATCAGTGTTATGAGTCGAAGTTCTAATCACCAAGGAAAGTTACCCCATTGGAACCGTCGGTACTTCTCATCTCAGGTTACTCTTATTCCCATAGTTAGTGCAGTTTCCAATAATTAGCTCTCCCAATTCAAGCCTTTTATTGTTCCATTTTTCCATTGCCTTTTTTCAAATTAAAAATTTTATTGAAACTGTTAAAAATCTCGGAATCTATTGAAACGTTAGAGAGATGCAAAAAGTATTTGTATCGCTTTCTATGACAAAAATGCAATTAAATTTTGATAAAATTAGAAGGTTATAGGAATTCTTTTATTTTTTCTTCTTCTATATTTTGCAACTTTTACCGCATCGTTCATTCAAGTTTTCAAAAATTGATTTCAAAACTTGTTGAAAATTTTAGAGATTCCAGGATGCATATTTGAATAATTGCTTCAATTATTCCGTCTTCTCCCTCCTCTTTCCACTTTTTACTCGCCACTGGAATAAAAAGCTTCCGAAAATTCTGCAGATCTCACGATCTATAATAAAATTACCTTTAACATTTGTGAAAAAAATATTCTTCCCAATTTTATGATAGAAATACGAAACAATCCTCATCGAATAAAATAATAGACGAAAATTTTAAGAAAAACAAGCCTCTTTCTTATTGACAGAAAGGGTGAAAAAAATATTCTTCCCAATTTTATGATAAAAATATAAAACAATTCTCATCGAATAAAATAATGGACGAAAATTTTTAGAAAAACACACCTTTTTCTTGTGGACAGAGAGAGAGAGAGGGAGTCTAAGAAAATATTTTTCCCAATTTTATGATAAAAATAGAAAATAATTCTCAACGAGTGAAATAATGAAAGGAAATTTTTAGAAAAACACACCGTTCTCTTGTTGACAGAGAGAGAGAGAGAGTCTAAAAAAATATTTTCCCCACTTTTACGACAAAAATAGAAAATAATTCTCAACGAGTGAAATAATGAAAGGAAATTTTGGAAAAACAAGCCACATTGTCTGATTGACAGGAAGAGTAAAGGAAACGCTTGTGTAAGAGGCAACGGAGCGCGTAAAGCGAGGCTTAAATATTTATCCAAAACGAGGTGGACATCTGTCGGTGTGGCTCGTTGCATTTTATTTAGGCGTACCGTATTTATTTAACATTAACGCCAGCACGTAGCCTCCCTAATTCACGCCGTCGTCGTCGTCCGTTCGGCAAACAACGGCACACATGCTACGGTCTCTTCGGGGTTTGGTCCGTGGCCAAATACGAATTATTAGTGTTGTCACTGGCACGTACCCGCGGCTTCTGCGTGTGTTACGTACTTTTTCGCCGGCGATCACGTAATTTCGTTAGTGCGTTTGTTAACCTCTTCATCCGGACATTTCTTAGAAACGTGGAAAAATTTTCATTCTCTCAAGTATTGAACTTACTGTTATTATTTTGTCAGTGTTACAAGTTAAATATACTTCTGGAATTTTTTTAGAAATGAAGAAGAATGTTAGTTCTTTCAAGTACTAATCCTATTATTATTTCTTTTTTCTAAGTGTTAGTCGTATTTTCTCATTTGTCTGATTTCAAGAGAATTTTCTAGTTTCTCACAGAATCACCAATATCTCCCTCAAATCAATAAAACCAAGGTTCAAATAAAATCCCAAAACTGTTCTAATCAATTCAAACCTACCATAAACCAGATATTCCAATTTACTACCCCGACATCCTCAAGTTCCCACTAAAATCTCTTCCAAATTAATAAAACCCACCAAACGAAACCATCATCAAAAATCTAACCAACGAGAAACATTTCTACAAATACACATACGTACACACAGAGAGCATCAGCAGACAGTGTAGCAGAAAAGCGCCTGATGCCAGTCCAGCTCGTCAGAGCGAAACGTCGGCTCAGGCAGTCAGGCAGGCAGCAGCTCGTAATTGGCTCTAGTTGGCCAAATGAAATATTTAACGAATAAAATAAACGGAAAGCGGCGGTGACCTGCATGTTAAAGTAGCGGATTTATTTGCTTTACCGTTTATCTGACCAGCAAAGCCACCCCTCCCCCCTCTCTTTCTCTCTCCTCCCCCCTCTCTATTCTCCCTCTATCCCCCTTGTTCATTCCTCGACGTGTGTGCACGTGGATCCCACCCCTGGATTTTCCAGGGGCGGCTACGTTCCCACTTCCTACCGTGGGGCTGAGTGGCAGAGGGCTCGCTGGGAGGGGGAAAGGGGTGGATTCAGAGAGTCAGGGGCGCGGGACACCATGATGAACGTGATTGCCCTTTCCGGGACGGCAAACACTGCTATTGGATTTTTATCAGCTGCTGTTGCTGCCGCTGTTCGGAGAAATTCGAGCAAACTCCGGAGAACGTGTGTTTGAATCCCCCTCCTCTCTCTCTCTCTCGCTCTTTCTACACCTATCCTGCTACCTCTGGCTCCTTCTGGTACGACTGCTGATTAATCGAGCGATGATTTTATGATCCCTTTGTCTGAGGGAATTTCGCGAGTATTGTACGTAATGGCGGTGGTTGAAGGATTTTAGATGTATATATTTGGGAATTTTGTTTTGGGAGAATTGAGAAAACGGGGACACTGTGAAATTGTCGAGTATTTTGTCAGAATTTGGACTGGAATGTTGATTTTTAGTTAGAAAAAATTTCAAGAATTTGTCCCTCCGTGTCGAACCACCCTTAGCAATCTTCTCATAAACGCTCTAAAAAATTACTATTCAGTATATTATATTACCCTGAAGTATGAACATTGAAAACCTCAGCCTTTCTAATTCTACTCAATTCCCTCAAACCTAAATTTCATAAACAAAACTGAAAAAATCCCCAAAGCGAGAATTCTCTAAAAATTCCTCCCTCCTTATCAAGCTACCCCTAATCCTCTCACAAACGCTCTAAAAAATTATTATTCAGCACATTCTATTACCCTGAAGTATGAACATTGAAAACCTCAGCCTTTCTAATTCTACTCAATTCCCTCAAACCTAAATTTCATAAACAAAACTGAAAAAATCCCCAAAGCGAGAATTCTCTAAAAATTCCTCCCTCCTTATCAAGCTACCCCTAATCCTCTCACAAACGCTCTAAAAAATTATTATTCAGCACATTCTATTACCCTGAAGTATGAACATTGAAAACCTCAGCCTTTCTAATTCTACTCAATTCCCTCAAACCTAAATTTCATAAACAAAACTGAAAAAATCCCCAAAGCGAGAATTCTCTAAAAATTCCTCCCTCCTTATCAAGCTACCCCTAATCCTCTCACAAACGCTCTAAAAAATTATTATTCAGCACATTCTATTACCCTGAAGTATGAACATTGAAAACCTCAGCCTTTCTAATTCTACTCAATTCCCTCAAACCTAAATTTCATAAACAAAACTGAAAAAATCGTCAAAGCGAGAATTCTCTAAAAATTCCTCCCTCCTTATCAATCTGCCCTTAATCCTCTCACAAACGCTCTAAAAAATTATTATTCAGCACATTGTATTACCCTGAAGTATGAACATTGAAAACCTCAGTCTTTCTATTATAATTCCATTCAACTCCCCCAAATCTAAAATGTACAAACAAAACTCAATTCTCTCCCTACAAAAAAAAGTTCGTTCTCCAATATGAAACTATCCTGAACAAAAACTTCCTCTTGATATTTCCAGGTGTGGTTCCAAAACCGGCGTGCGAAGTTCCGGAAGCAGGAACGACTAGCCCAGCAGAAATCCAGCTCTCAGAGTGGTATGGGCGTGGATAGTGGAGCTTCGAGTCCAGTGGCTGGTAACGTGAAGGCGGAAGGACGTTCTCCAAGAAGCCCAGCGACGCCACCAGGCGGTTCGAACAGCGTGATGTCGACGAACGAGGTGAAACCAATCGCGAATCCAAACCTGGTCAGCGTGAAACACACCAGCGACGCGTCTGTAGAGGGAAACTCGCCAAACACGCGAGGAAGTAACAGCGGCGGAGGAACATGGGGTTCATGTAGCCCCAGGCCCTTCTCTGCAGCGCTACCGCCCTATCTATTGGACCCGCTGCCCCTGAAAACCGCGAATCTCTACTAATCGTCCTTCGATAACCACTCCATCCTGCCGGAACTGTGTAAATATAGAGACTAACGCGCGCTTGAACGGAAACCGGATGCTGTTCAGACTCTCCTGGCCTGTCGCGAGGTCGTTTCCCATGAACTGAGAAAGGGAAACTCGTTTTTCTTTAAGTGAGAGATTTGTGAAAGTGTGTTCTGAACGTTTACGAGATTCATTCCTTTTTTAATTTTATTCTTGATACAGGGAACAATTATTGGTCCAGGTTTTATTCTTCGTTGAATGAAGAATGAATTTTCTTATCAAATTCATTTTTTATTTTATTTTCGATAGCCGAAGAAATTGGGAGAACCGTTTTAAGTTTTGATTTGAAAGAATATTGCTCCTGTGAGCTGTTTGTTTTTTGCGTAAAAAATTGTTGGTTTGGATTGAAATGTGATCTGAATGCTTGGTGAGTATCGATTTTTATTTTATTTTTAATAGAATAGTGATTTTCATAGTGATTCGGATTTATTTTTCATTGCTTGGGAAAATTGTGAAAGCGGTGTTCTGAACACTTGCAAAATTCGTTTTGTATTTTATTTTTGGTAGAGGAGAAAATTAATGTAACAGATTTGATTTTCAGTTGGATGGAAGGTTGTTTCTGCGGATTGCTTGGTGAAAGATTATGGCAACGTCTTTTAGACTCGTAATGAGATTGATTTTCCAGCTGTGATCATTGTTTGCAAATAGAAAAATTGATATTCTTTCGTTTATTTAAAATTATCATTTATTTTCTTCTTTTATTTTTTAACAGACGAAGGGTCGATTCCATGGATTACCCCATGCTTTTGTCCACTTGTGGAGGCCTGGTGAGATTTATTTAATCGCTACCAAATTGGAAATCCTCCCCTATTTCTAATAGATAGAAAGATTCCAACTTTTTCATTGAATAATTTCTTTTAATTTAATAATTTCATTGTTTACTAGATATAAAAGTTACTTATTTATTTATCTACCTTTTGCTTTCTATTTTTCCACAGCCATTCAGTGAAAATCCTCTGTTACTGCGATGAATCACAGGCTGCTTTACTTCTAACTGTAAGTTTCACCATTCTTTTTTTTATCATTTTTTTCCTTTGGTACGGGTAATGTTCACGATGATTCGAAAACCCAACGATGCCAATATCTACGTACCGTCCTACATTCCTCATTGATCATCTAACGAATCAGTAGCATTTATGTCACCAATAAACTACACACGAGGACGTTTAAATCCAAATCTCTCCCAAAAAAGCAGAAAAACCAGTCTCAATCAGAAATAACAATAAAATTCTCAGCAAGAGATATAAAAATAATACTGAAAAATCTCGAAATTTCACGTTAAGCTGGCAAAATAGAAGCTTTGTCTTTGAACGTCTCGTGTGATCCAAGAACAATGAGGAAACCCCCTCGAAAGTCTCTGAACAGCGTTTTCATCTACCGAAAAGAAAAAAAAGAAGAAGAAACAAGCGGCAAGTTTCGCGGAGGATATCGATGCTAGGACCTAGCACCTGTACAGTTGTTGCTATAAATAATAGAAGATTAGTGTTTTACACCGTGCATCGTACTTACTGTCCATCGAACAGGAAGCAGGGTTTCTTCCCCTGCGAACGAACGGGAAAAGAGAAAAGAAACGAAAAGAGAAAAAAAAAAAGAATCATACTTAAAACCAAGAACGAACGCAGATTGTAGCTCCACCGATTGTGTGTATCATTGGCCATTCAATATGCATTCGCAGAACAATTATACATTTAAATTAGCTCGTAAGATTTACTAAGGTCCATTCATCGTAAGGATTACTGTTAGTGTCCCCTCCAAAAAAAAAAAAAAGAAAAAAAACAAGAAGAAAAAGAAACCGAGCTGAGAAACGTATGAGTGATACAGATGAGTGAAAGAAAGGTGAGAGAACGTATGAAGCTCGAAGGAAAACTCATTGCGAAATTGATCCTTTTCTGAAAACCAAGAGAGAGAGAGAGGGAGAGAAGAAAAGGGAGATGGGTTCACTTTTACAGTTTAATCTTCAAGTGTCTCTCGCTGAGATGGATCGATAATCAACAGCCTGTGCGTTCATCTATCGAGAAGAGATATTTATTTTACAGAACAGCTGAGTATCGTTCGTCTAATATCAGAGCTGCTTAAAGATTAAACCAACGTCTCGCGTGAGGTTCTCGCGAACTTCCTGTCCCACAGAACTATTTTTATAGTAAATGCTTCACGGCTGTCCAAGAGAAACTATCAAGTGGTTGGCTCGAAACGATGACTTTTCCTTCGACGAGAGAGAGAGAAACTTGAAGTGTCGAGAAAACAAACGTGCCCTCCCTTTCCCCCACTTTCCACACCCCGAGGTCCATCATCATGAATTTGATTCCCTGGTTCTTTCTTTTGTTCGAAATATACATTTATTGAAAATAATCATTCTTGCATCTGGTTTGTTCATTTTTCACTTTCTTCACTGTGTTCGTCAAATTTACAATCGTTGCTCCTAATTGATCCAGGTGTATGGATATACATTATATATTTGTTTCCTTTGTACTCTGTGTAGCTTCGCTCTGGAGTTCCCTTTTCCTGGAGAACAGATATTTTTTTCTTTCTTTCTTCGTTCGTTTCTTCTTATTTCAGGTCGCAATATCTGGTCCCGAAAGAAAATTCCAACTCCGCGTAGAAACGGATGGACGAGTGTGTCTGTCTGTTGCTCCAGGAAAAGGGACAACCGAGCTGTTCATCGCGAATTATCGCCGTACAAAAGTAATAAAAGCTTGCTCGTTCACATTATGGTTCGATTTAATCGTGGTGTCTCGGTCGTTCGCTCGCGTGCAACATTTATAACTTATGCGTATGTATGCGTGTCACGCGGATTCGTCGAAAAAGAAGAAGAAGAAAAACAAAAATTGATAGAATTTCTTTTTCCATGATTTTCCTGTCGGAGCAGCGTGCTTTGTTTCGTCATTTCGTTAGTCGAGGAGTCAGGCGCCTATACATTATACATTATGCCTTATACGTACGAATGAACGATGCGAATACCGCGATCTAGAATTGGATCGCTGGCAATTCTGATCGTTTATTCGGAAGACTCTGGGTCTCGAACAAGTCGATGATCTTTCGGGATGATTTAGGCCATCGTTAGGGTGCCCGCGCCCATGCCAAAACCGACGCCCTTCGGACCGAAATTCCGGTTGTAACAACCGCGACAGTAGATGTCCCCGTCTGGAGCGTCGTTCAAATTCGTCGAGTCTAACGAACGGTGACACTCGGCACAGCTGAAGCAACGCTTGTGCCACACGCGGTTTTTCGAGATCATTTGCTCGGCCGCGTACACCGGGTAGCCACAACGAGCGCATCCGTGTCCGTCGTCACGCTTCTGGCCGAGCTGGGGCTTTGAATCAATGCTGCAAGAAGTTAGGATTGTGTTTGTTAAAGTAGATTGAAATTTCAATCGATAGAATTGCTATTGTCAAGGGAGGAGACTTAGGATTGGTAAATCAGGGGTTGTTTAATAGGCACTTCCATCTGAGTGTATTTGTATCAATATTAGGCGATATTGAAAAAGTGCGTGATCCGGTAGATGGGAATTTTAGATTTTAAATTAGAGAGACTTATGTTTAATGGCTACTTAATAGGCGGTTCCATGGAAAAGTGAAAACAGCTTCATAGAGACTTACACAGAGATTTACACTGTTATACAGAGTTGTGGGAACAGATTTACCGGTTCTTAAAAGCAACATCAGTTCAGCTGCTTCAGTGAACCAATAGTCCAGGAATAAAGAACAAGGTGACAGTAAAAGTAGCTGATAAAGTAAATTAAGTCGAAAAGTGTCCCTAGTTTATTTTATTAGCTACTTTTACTGTCTTCTTCTTCTTTATTCCTGGGCTATTGGGTCATTGAAGCAGTTCATCTCATGTTGCTTCTATGGTCCTGTGATGTTTCTAATAACCTCATCTGCATAACAATGTGAACCTCTTCCTATGATTTCATGAATTTGTTTCCACATACCTACGAAGCTGTTTCCACTTTTATTTTATTTTTGACATCAGCTGAAATATTAAAGAGCCAGAACTTACTACGAGGGAGCGTGATCTCCATTGGTTGAAACAAGAGTCGGGGTGTGTCCGAATCCAAAACCTTTGGGTCCGAATAGTTTACTGTAGCATGACCGGCAGTGAATTTCCTTGTCAGGTCCGTCACAGGCTAGCATAGAGTCCAAGGGTCTGTGGCACTCGGCACAGTTGAAGCATTTCTTGTGCCACATGGTACCTTTGGCGAGTTGTTGCTCAGCAGCGAACACCATACCACCACAACGTGGGCAACCCTGGCCAGCTGGCGCCTTGATAGCGGTCGTGTCAGGATTGTAAAATGGCCGACCGGCCGAGATTTCTTCCTCCCTGAAAGAAAAAATGATCCCTTCAATCCTCTTCTCTAAAAAATTCGTATTAATTCTTGATAAGTCCTTAAAAGTCCTTAATTCGCTTTGGTCTCGCCTTCGACAATTTGTAACTTCCAAAATTCCAAACTTCTCGATTTAATTCCAATTTCCTTCTCGAAAATTGCTCTTGCATTTACTTAAAAAAAATTTCTGCAGAAAACTCCAGAAACAAAAATGGTCCATTTCAAATCTTTCGAAGAAGTACTCACGTTAGGCCATCGGTCTGTAAGAATCCTGATCCACATGCAAATCCGTATCCGTGCGGTCCCCACTTCTTTCCATAGCATGTCTTGCAGTAGACATCTTTGTCGGGCCCGTCGCAGGCGATGATAGAGTCGAGAGTTTTGGTACAGTCACGGCACTTGTAGCACTTCCTGTGCCATTCACGGCCCTTTGCGAGCACCTGTTCAGCGGCAAAGACTACGCCGCCACAACGTGGACAACCTTTGCCAGGTGGGGCCTTGATTGCAGCGGTGTCGATCACGGTGGTACGAGGAGCAGCCTCGCTGCATTAACAAATTCGTCAAATTTACTATCGTCCATCTCTCAGAATTTATAAGATCAATCATCGAGTGGCACGAATGATAATAACAATTTTCTTTTTCATTTTTTTCTTCTCTCGTGGTGAAATGTATAGGTCTGTTCTCATTCGAGCGACTCAGTATTGTTCAAGTACGATTAACAATACAAAAAGAAGCAAATCCATGCAGATGAGAGACTGGTCGATACTGATCAGCAATTGAAATGAAAGGAGAGGGGTTCTAGATACTAATTGGAGGTAACCGAGGGATTTAAGAAGGTGATTGATCATTCAAGCTATAAATAATGTATGTTGAATTAAATAGGGCTGATAGAGGGCGATGAATGGAATATATTTTGTCCAATAGATGTATGCCTAATTTTGCCTTGTTTCTGAGGAATAGAGCTCGAACTGTGCAGAAGTTAGGAGCCTGTCGTCGAGCAACCTGCCAAGCATCGGTGATTTTTATTGAGATTTTAACAATATTACTAATTTCTGTTGAAATTTAGGAACGAAATGTTCATGTTCTTACTATTATATCGAGTAATATATGATTGTCTGCATCAAACTGCATTAAAATCTCATAATGGAAATGGATGTATGACAGGTTGCTCGTCGACAGGCGCCAAAAGTCTGCACATTCGAACTAAAATTTGATGAATGTTTCTTTAATCATCCCCTTGTGAAATGATCAACTTCCAAGTGAAAAATGAGCATGCTTTTAATGCACGATACGCTAAGTTAAAAATGGGAAGGGGGTTATTCACTGTGATTCTCGAAATTTCGATCGTTTTAAGAGTTAGTACTCGACACTCTGAAGCAGTTTAGTGGCTCAAAGATAGAGTAGTGGTGAAGGTGAGTAATAGCGCAAAGCGTTAAGGCGTCGATTCGTGTGTATGTGTGTATGTACACGTATATCCGTGAAGACACATGCAATCGTCCGTTCGTTCTCGCTCTTTCACTCGATTCTTGCCCTGTTTCTTCAACTTGCATCTTAAATGGAGCTCGATCTATCCCTTGATCCCCTTGAAAATGCATATTCTATAATTGTGATGCGCCAAAATAAACATGATTCAAGAAGACAAATCTAAACAAACGATTTTTCCTGAATTAATTACACAATAATTTTGCAATGTTGACTGTTTCTCAAAAAGTAGTACGATTTTAAATTCCAACTGTTAGCTACTCTAAAAAAATCTAATATTCCCAAAATTTATACAGACTAGCTCGAGCACACAGCGATATTCGGGCAGTAAGCCACGTCTTTTAGGGCAACGATTCTGTGGTGGGGCACTGTATGAATTAATTGTAGTAGTGCTCAGCTGGCCTAAGATTGAGAATTATTCTTCAAAGATAGAATTTAAATTCCCACCACAACTTTAATGATTGTCAACGTCACTTGCCCTTAGCGTTGCCCGCAGCACAGCCCGATGGCAACGAAGGGTGCCCATGCCCGAAACAGGCCTGCATAAGCAGTCCTGCTCTATACAATGCTACCTTTGATAATACCATATAAAATTTGTTCCTTAAAAATCACTCCATTTGTCATGAAAATTAGTTAAAGAAGTAGGGTGTCCAGAAGAAATCAACGGGCATAAACATGAACAAACAGACACACACACACATAGAGAGAAAGAGAAAGAGAAGTATGGCGAATAATTGGAATAGCATAACTATGGGGGCGCGTACCCCTCGTCCTCAATATCGCACTGCAGCCCGATCCACATAACCCCAGCGTGGCCAATACCTCGCGGACCGAATTTCTTCGGATAGCAAGCTGTTAAGCAGACAAGCGCATCATATATAGTGAGAGTGTAGAAGCCGAGGCGGGATATCTCTCGTGTGTTCCCGTCTCAGTCTCGGCTGTGAAAACCCACCCATTGGCGTAGCAGTCGCTTTGTAGGGCGCCACCACCCTGACCGTAGCCATAACCCTTCGGTCCGAATTTCTTTCCGTAGCATACTGTAGAGAACATCGGTTAAAGGTATCTGCTCGTTCGACCTGGTTGCCTGACGTATACACCAGGACATGCTATGTCTGAATGTGTTCTCTATGTTTTCTTTCTTTAATTTTCTTTTTTTTTTTTCGTTTAATTTGTCAAGGTTTGAATTGAAGGGTTTAATTGTCAATTGGTGATTCTGAGATTGAGATTGAGTTTTGAAAGAAGTATAGAATATGGTATAATTTAGGTTACAGGAGGAAAACGAGGACTAGTCTGTCTTTTTAATTTCATAGAATTTCAGAAGAATTATGTTGGAGATAGTAAGTAACTCTTGAGTCGTATTTTCTTTTGGAAGAGAATTTCTGAACACTGAAATGTAGAAAAAGGTATAGCCTAAGGTAGAAATGTATAAAAATGACTCTGTATAATTTATCTTTCAAGTTCCAGCAATTTGAAGAAAAAAAAGTTACATTGGTTAATGATTCTGTTGTAGAATATTATACATACACTATAGAAGTGTATGTATAAGTAGAGTCAAAAAGTTCCTTCTTTTCTCCACATTTTTCAATCTTCCGCTGAACACATCCAGCACTTCATGTCTCCAGCTATATAATCGTGCGTGATCCTCACCTTTACAATAGATGTCCTTATCAGGACCTTCGCAGCAGTTGACCGAGTCTAATCTCTTGGAGCAGTTGGCACATTTAAAGCATTCCCTGTGCCATTGCTGCGTGGGATACAAACGGACAGGTGTTAGTCACTGAAACTGGGATGCTCCAACGAATCTTGCGTTCTATTATACATAGTTATTCCCAATCTATTGCAAGTGCAACTTGAGCCATAACCTCAAATATGATATACATACATATATATATACTTCGAACAGTTTAGTTGGAAAATCTTAGTACTCTTCGAGACTGAGACGTTCTGCTGTTACTTTCCAACTAATCGCGTGAAATCGTAATAGAACTCGACACTTGTGAGTGAAAAAAAAAACAACATAACACATATTATGGCTTCTCAGGCCGAGAATATTGTACATTCTTTTCTTCTTTTTTTTTTTTTTTGCTTTTAAGGTACATTTTGTGTGACATTTGATAGAAACACTTTGCGCCAGTATGTACTTCACGGAATTTTGGAGTTGACCAAGGACCATAAACAAGAAAAAAATAGACAGGAGACAGAGGACGAGCAAAATTAAATCTCAAGATACCTCGACAATATATCTCGCGATCGGGACCATCGCAATGAAGCGTCGAGTCCAGTGACCGATGACAGGTTTTGCACTTGTAGCATTGCTTATGGTAAGCCTAATCACAAGAAGCAGGAATAACCATGGTCTTCTCGCATTCTCGATTCGATAGAAACTTTATCTTGGTGCCACGACTTGTATCAAATTTTTGGATAAAATTCTCCAAGATTCTAAACATTTCAGATATTTTTTTACTAGTCCAAAAAATTCAGAAAGGTGTATATAATATTGCGTATCGCCTAGGCAAGATACTTTCACGGATATAGCAATTTTTCTGCATTTTTTTCGTCTGAGAAAAATTTTCTAAAATTGAATGAAAAATCTGAAATATGTGGAAGTTTTAGTTTTAGATGATTTTTCGAATTTCCTGCAAAATGTGCTTTTTCCCTCTGGTAACTAGTGGCGAAATTAACCCCTGAAAGCTGCAACCCGACCTATACACTACTTATACGTAAAGATTTATTTAAATGATAAAGAAGAGAGTAAATATTCAATAAATTATTCAACTGGAGAAATAACATTTATGAAGCCACTCCTGTTCGTAAATTACGAGGACACTTACTGAACGCGAAGCGAAGTTAAACAGTTATTAAAAAATAATTAAGATTCTAAAAAAAATTATTCAGCCTGGAATCTCGTAATATACGTTGTACGATACTAACTTTGTCGAAGAAATGTAATTTAAGTCATATAACGGGTGTCGTAATATTTACAAACGGTAGTGTATATGTAAAATTTGAGACGGATCTATTTCCAGTTACTTCGAATATATTCTGATACTATTTGTTAATGTTTTAATCCCTGAAGGACTAAAGAAAAATTTTTAAGAATTAAAAGTACATTATTTCAAGGCGACCAGAGAAAAATTAACTTATGTGCAAAGTTCGTCGAACTTAGAAGACAGTTCACATCGATGCTAGTTCTCTAGATGCTCAAAAAAGCGGCACAAACGAAGCCACTTGGGGTGCCTCCAATTGGCCAACGTCCGCGTGTCTCATGTACACTTAACAATAGACAAGAATCAGAAAACAAATTGAACTTTTCTCTGAACATTCTGAAACTCGAGCCCTGACAACGCTTTGGTGCTAATGAACGTAACATTAGTCAAGAATGTTACGAATAGTTCATAAAAGAGAGAGAAAGTCCATCGTTCACGAGCAACAGACATTGTTGAGGAAGTTGGCAGAGATAGTGGTTCAATCAAAACCGTTCAACTCTCATTTGGCCCAATTTTCTTCGTTTCATATCGGCCAGAAGTTTGACTGACTTTGTGCTACTTCTATCATCCATGATTTATGATATTTCCGTTAAAATTGCTTGCATAATTCGTGCTGCTGTTGAAGATACTTGATCGTAGTGTAAAGTTCTAGAATTTTCTTGTTTAAATATACAAGTTTTCTAATTGTAGCCGACTAAAAGTGGAGTAATTGTACGTAAACAAATAAGTCGATAGTGCGCAACAAGATTTTATCGTAGGAAGCTTCGTTTTGGATGAAATCGATATGAAAAGTTCCTCAAAAATTTCTATCTACTACAGAAAAACCACCATTGTTATTTTCTCTCGACTAAGTACAATATTCAACAGGTGTTGCTACGCCTATGTACAGCTCCATTAATTTTCTATTCCAACTTTCTCCAAAACAAGGCTTGCTATCAATAAACATCACTTCGCATTTTCTATTAACTTCTCGACATAGAATCGATTAGTGTGATCGTTTACCCACAATTCTCCAAAATTAGATAATGGAATTAATTTTTAATTTGAAAGTCAATATCTTGACAAGAAAAGAGAAAAACTTCCACAGAGTCACTTGAAATTTTTATGTACAGATTAATTCAAAATGTGAAAGGCCAAAAATATAAGTGAACACCTGTGTTCCTAACCTAAAAATTAATCCATAAGTGAATCTTCGTAAGACATATGACGGCCATATTGGACGTCGAGATAGATCGGCAGCAACCTAAGAAGGGCAATTAGCCTCCATCCATAGTGTAACCCACGGCCGTGCTAGTCGCTCCAAGTTATTTTCCAACACTTGCTGCGATGAGGAGGTGTTGGTGGTCTGCCAAGCCGGAGGGCGACAGGAAAAGCTCTTGGGCCGGCACCAACGGCAACAAGCCGACGATCGAGTCATCCTCCTCTATTCCTCCTCTTTATTTTTTCCCTCATTGTTATGAAATTACCCGTTTCGTCACGCGATAAGATTACGGAGGCACGTCAGAGTCCGTGCTGGTCTGGCAGCGTGTCAGCCGGTGGTCCGGGCAATTTTAGCATCAAACATTACACGAGGCCACCATCGAATCCGCGATTCACCTGATCCTCGCGTCGCTTTCACCGCAACGACGGTAATGTTTGCGAAATCGACCGTTTTACTTCGTTCCAGAACGTTCAGTGGTAAGATTAGACGTGAGCAATAGCCTTAGAACGATGTTTTAAATTTCTGACGGAATTTGAGGGATGACATGTAGCTAGAGTTCCAAGTTTTGAGAATATACACTGCCGCTCATGAGTATTTGCCCAGACATTTATTCACGACGTTCTTTATTTCCGTAAGCGACTAATATTTAACCAATCATTTAACTTGTTTCGAGACCTTTATCTAAAAAAAGATAATTCGTTTGAAAAATTTATCATATGTTTGAATAAGGAAAAAGAATTTTTAAATGGTTCAATTTTCTAGGTTTTCTAGAACCTTGCCTTGTATGGATAGGGTTATCTCCCATAATTTTCAATATTTTCTAACAAAACTTTAACAATATCTCACTAAAGCATACATCTCTCAACACAAAAAAGCTTCATCCATGTTCCTCTATTACTTTTTCCAAAAAAAATTCCCATACATATGTAGACATATCATCTCAAGAAAAGAACATTACCTCCTACTAACACCGGTATCTCCCACAATAACCGATATTTTTTAACAAAAATTTAACAGTATCTCGCCAATGAATGTACCTTTCAGTGAAGAAAGGTTCGATGCAATTTCCGTAGCTACTTTTTCCAAAGAAAAATTCCATATCTAATACCTCAAGCTAGCAACTCTAAATTTCACGGACTGTTTACAGTCCCTTCCACCTAAGCATCCCTCCACGCAGTATCGGTATCAGGTTGCCCGTGTCAAGAATAGCTTGTACACCACCTAATAATAACCACTGCGGCTTCCATCGGGTTCTTCCAAGCACAGTTGATGACATAACCCACGGAATTGTTCCGTGGGCTATTTTCGCTACTCTAGTCGCGGCACCAAGGTGGCAGTTACGATGTCTTACGTCGAACGACGCGACGCGACGCGTCGAATTTTTTCTCGTCTGAGACACTCACCCTTCCTCTCGCCAGCATCTGCTCAGCTGCGTACACGTACCCTCCGCAACGGGGACACCCCTCGCCCTCAGGCGCCTTCGCGATGGCTCTTGGTTCCAGAATGGCGTTCGATCCTCTCGCGAGCTCCCTAAAAACGTGTCTCTTGTAGAGATCAGATCTGTCACTCCGATCCAAAAAAAAAATAGTCGACAAAGTGAAGCTGTGATTCCCAACAAAGATGGCGTACCATCGCCCCCGATCTTCACAGAACGATCACATTTTGTTTTTGTTTTTTTTTTTTATTTACAGTTGAAGAGTACAGAGGAAAGAGGATTAGGATCCACTTTTTGATTTTTATTTGCCCATCTATTTTCCTTTCTTTTTTTTTTGATTTAAAGATGTGATAAATTTTTTAAAATAATTTTTTTTTTTTAGATAAGGGTTACGAAACAAGTTAAAACCTTGGTTAAATGAAGTTGCTTATTAGAATAGAAAACATTTTGAATAAATAGGTGGGCAAATACAGGGTGGTCCATGAAATCTTCAGTTTTTAAATTTTTCTTTCAAATTTTCAAAATTTGTTCTTTGGAAATTTATTATGGTAAAGCGACTTATGGACCAGCTTATAGTTCTGAGTGGTAGTGTATGTATATATTTTTTGTTGTAGACTTCATTTTTGTATTTGGAAATGGGAAAAGAGATGAAAATTCCAAAGTATTACCATTATAGCGGAAAATGGTTAAGGGTACTTATGTTTGTGTAGAAAAAGGATGAGAATGTGTGTTGTACAGTGTCTTCATGTTATGTTAATAAATTTTTCAAGTGTATCTTCACTGTTTAACCCTTTCATTACTGGATTATTCTTTTTAATAGGAATCTGTTGTTTATCAAATTTAAAAATTAGAAAAAATTGTAAATTTAGTAAGAATTGGGTATTTACCTACTTGTCGTATCTGTAATGGACACTAATTTTCTGATAAATTTTTGTCCGAGAACTCAAGTGGAAAAAATACGTTCCGCCAGTCACGAAAGGGTTAAAGTTGATTTTCCTCAAAATCAAGTTAAGTAAACACTCATCCTTTTTCACCTGTACTCTTCAATTAATTCAACACAGGTTGAGGATGTGATAATTAAACTTTAACGATCATTTTGTTTTTTTGTTCTTTTTTAATTATTTCTTTGGTTATGAAACGATTACTGACGGGCAAGGGCGTCGAACACCGGGGGCCTGGGAATCACCAGGGGAAAAGCAGACAGTACAAGAACACGCCACTGCAAAAAAAGAGAAGAGGGGATGACGAGCGATGGATCTGAAATTCGACGAGAAGTTTGGAATCCTGGGCAATTCGGCAATTCTCTCTGGAATCTTCGAAAGAGAGAATTCAAGAAGAAAAACTCTCAAAAGTGTTTCGAAAATGAATTAGCACGTTTTAGGTTAACTATCGAAATTGTGAAGTTAATATTAATTCCGTGTTAATATCGAAAATTAATCGAACAATTTTCCGAGGTTCTTCTTCGAAATTGCGAACCGTGGGTTAACCATTAAAAAAAAAATAATAACAATAGTAAATTAGCAATTTTGTGTTAACTTCCTGTGAAAGAAAAAAAAAAATTAGAAATTTTCAGTCAACTCTCGAGAAATTTCCAACGATACTGGCAATGAGATTCCAAACTGCTTCCATCGAAAATCATCTCAAGGCTCCAAGGTGAAGGAAAAAAAAAACGATTACTCAGAAACCGTTTGTAAAGAATGATCAACAACCCTTTGGCGGTTAGGTTTGTTAGGCACATGTTAGTAATCGGTTAGTAACCCCGTAAACCCCTTTGCAACCACGCAAGTGGCTTCCGCCGAGCCCCGAGAGGAGAGCCAAGAAGCGGATCGTGTATAACAAGAAATAAAAGTGATAATAAAATTTTACTCAGAAAAAAGAAACAAGTGAGGACAGAGCAACAGGCGCAATAGAAATAAATAAAGGGGTGTTGTGGGTGAAAAGAAACAAGATAGATAAGATAGAAAATATAGTATGGATGTTTTGGAAACTGATGGATTATGGGGGAATGACAAAAGTGGAGAAAGAAGCTTAAAGTAGATTAAAGGTGATATACAGGGTGTAAACGAAACAGGTGGGCAAACTTTGGTAACCCACTCTGCTCTTCCTGAGGATGAAAAAAATCATACAAACATAGGTCCAGAAACTCTTCTTTTCTCAGATATAAACATCTTTTATGCAGCTATCACGTTATCATATTATTTTTCTGTCAAAACTAGACCCCATGTCATCCTAACCTTGAAATCACTGACAAACATTTCATCGACATTTTTCGATACTGTTACTATTTTTATTTATATTCGTTTGTTCCTATTTTATTCGTACAGGGTGGTCCTTAAGTAACTTTGTCGTTTAAAAATTGAACGAAGTTTTTTTCGCAGTCTGAAACAAAAATTTTGGACCACATGATAGAAAGGAAATTATTCAATTTTGCATGGACACATCAATATTTTTGTGTAAAATTAATTAAATAAAACAGATGTAAACTATTTCATTGTATATTCACTGTCGTCCAAAAGTTTGGGACCACTGTGCATTGCAAAGTACGCAAGAATTTTCAGAACGAAGTTAATTTTTCATTACCCCGGTAAACCTAACCAATAAATTGATCTCTGCAACATACAATATTGGTGTAAATTGATAAATGGCCTCAAAATTTTAAATATACAATGTTGTTCAAAAGTCAGTATCGTTGAAATAGTTTCGATAAAAACATTATCAGCGATTTCAAGTAAATGTCATAGTAAATCAGTCTTTAACTAAATGTTCGACAGTAAAGAAGATATTTTTCTCGGGATGACTTATTCTAACTTACGATCGAGGAATAGACCAGGCAATTTTTGAGCGTTCTGAAATCATTTCCAGCCATTTCTTTAAGTAAATTTTTAAACATTCCTTAAAGGACGAATTTCCGGACCTATCTTTGTACGATCATTTTTCAAATTTTCCACCAAAGTTTGCCCACCCATTTCGGTCGCACCCTGTAAAATCTATGTTAAAATCAATACGACCATTTAATTAGGCGTCTACGTATGCACCTCTATGCGATGTGTCTGTAAGCGAGCGATTCATGTTGTATGATAAATAAATAGAAGCACCCATAGAGTTAACGGTGTTAGCGAGGTTAGGAGGTTAGGTGTCTCTGAAAAAAAAAAAAAAATAAATAAATAGATAAATAAATAGGTACGAGAGAAAGACCGTGCAGGTTGAAGAAAGAGTTTACTCGTCTTCTTTTTCGAAGATATTGTCTAAGATGGATATAGAGAGAAGTAGTAGAGAAAAAGATTACTCCAAAAAAAAAAAAAAAAAAAAACAAGAAAATATGAAAAAAAAACTAAAACAAAAGTGTTGAATTAGAGAGATAGAGAGATAGAGAGAGAGAGAGAGATAAGCAAGATGGTTTCATCTGTGAGGCGGTAGACAAGAGAAAGAGGCGTAGAGAATCAAGAAGAGAGATAGAGAGAGGCGGAATTCTGACTCGGTGCTCACCATTTTTTCTTTTGTTAACTTCGCTTAGACAGTTCCCTTTATCACGAGGCTCGTGATAAAGCGACAACACAT